CAATGTCTATCGCATTTCTCCTTCAGAATGAGAACTGAGCATCTTCCCTAGGGTCTTCCTTGTTTAGCTTCTTTAGGACTATAGATTTTAGTATGCTTATCCTATATTATATGGCTAATATTCACTTATGAGTGAGTATATACCATGTGTGTTTTTCTGCTTAAAATATGGAATGCTTCACAAATTTGTGTGTCATCCTTGCACAGGGGCCATGCTAATCTTCTCTGTATTGTTCCAAGTTTAGTATATGTACTGCCAAAGCAAGAACAATTGTAGTTTTGATTCATCGATCACATTTTATTTTGGCATTTATTATACTTGGATACAGGGTATTCTCTACTTTAATTTCAGCATTTTTGTTGGTTTGAAATGTCATCATTATAAAGTTAACTTACAGCACATAAAGCTAAAGTATTTGGGTTTTTTCCATATTTTTTAATTTATTACAATTTATTCACTTTGTATGCCAGCTGTAGACCCCTCCCTCATCTTCGAAACTGGGAAAAACTCAAGACTTTGAGTTTCTGCATTTAGTCCTTAGTTCTTACCTCCCCTTCATTTCCAAGGAGCCTCGCTTCCGTGCTGAAGCAGGTCTACCACCCAGCCCACCAATGCACAGTGCCATTTAAAGGTGTGATGCTAAGCTCGGACTCCATAGTTCAGAGATCCACATAGTCCCCCCTAGACCTTTAAGAGTGTTCCTTAAGATGTTTCATCACCAAAAGCTCACACAGCCCCTCTTTCTCTATATATTGGAGCATTGATCCTACCTAATTTAATTAGTATTTGCAAATGCAGTAGACAACGTCTCTTACACACTCTAGATGGGAGTCTGTGTTTGTATCACCAGTCGTATACCATTGAATTTTCCTGTTTTGTCCCTCACAAAAAAAAAAAAATCATTTTATTCTCTTCCCAAAATTAATAGGACCTTTTTACTGAGTGGTTTTAGCATGCAAGTAATGGGTTTTGTTATGACAGTTTTATACATGTCATTATACTTTTTTCTTAGTGGTATATCCTCTCCCCCATTTCTCCTTTTGCTGATAGCCTAGTCAGATAGTGTGTGTGTGCGTGAATTTTACTGTTTCTTAAAACGTCTCTGTTTAGGAAACAGTTTCTGTGGTATGGTAGAACTGGCTTGCATTCTGAGAGAGGGGTGCAGAGGACAATCATTTGCTTTTCTTTCCATGTCAATGATACCATGTTGCTCAAATGTTCCAAAGCTGGTACTATTTACTCCATGTAAACTGACAAGCGCTTTTCTCAAACATGAGCGCTATCTGGTAACATTGTCAGGCTATGTCAAGAGGGCACATCAGTTTTTTATGTTGGTGAGGCAAGTAGTATTTTACTTATTTTTATCTATGTTGAAACTCAATCCGAAAAAGAAAAAAAAAAAAAAAAAACAGTCCCATGGCTTCAAATGGCATTGGTGGGTCTCAGGTCTGTTTGGAATAATAAGGGATCCTTGGCTTTGGATTGAGGCAAATGCACACTAGAATCTGGTTTACCTGCTTTTCAACCCTAAGTGAGACAGGTGCCTGAGTTAGCCCCTGAGATTCCCCACTAGCAAAATAAGGATAACATCTGTCTTGAAAAGATCTCAGAATATTGAGGGAAGTGGTATTCAAAAAAGCCAGATGCATAAAGTAAATGAGCAATCACTGTAATTCACTTTGTGACTTATAAATGCACATCTCTGTATACTCTTCCCATTACTTCACACTATCTGCCCAGAACCTTCAGTCAATACTGAATATTCTTTTTCTCCAAACATGTATCATTAGAATAAGTAAAATGTGGGAGAGTTGATATGTATGTTTGACTGGGGGGAGGAGGAGGAAGTTTCCTTCTGGGAATCTTAGAGTATCTAGGTAACAACTAATCTAGGTATCAACTAATAATTTTAGCTGTCTGAGCAATAGCCCAAAATTGTGGCAATTTCCTCAGTACCTCGACAGTGTGGCCTCTTACTCTGAATTTGGATCTTTCTGCCCACTAAGACTGAGTTGCTGGTACACAGCTGCAATTCACACAGCTAAGCCAAAATACATGTGTTTGTTAGATTTCAATTTGAGCTTTCAGGCCTTAATCCTATATTTAATGGTTTTTCCTTTTTCCAAATACAAGAATCTTTTCAATGTAAAACTGTTCTATGCCTCACCCCTTTGCTCCGGCCCACCTGTACAAAAATTCACCATGAAAAGGTGACAGGAAGAAAGCAACTTGCTTTCTTACCTTGTTTCTTATAAACACAAGGGATTTGACATTTGTCCTAAAGGCCCAACATGAGCACTGCCTTCCTTAATCGACACACCTGCTGATTATGGTTGAGCCAATGAAGGTTGTGCTAAAGTCAGGAACACGAAGACAAGGCTGTGTGGCTGGTCAGTAACTGTCAAACAATTGATGAAGATGTAATCAGAAGGGGGTTAGAATGATAGCTTGGAGGTTAAGAACACTTGCTGCCCTTGAGCGGGACTTGACTTCAATTGCCAGCACCCACACAGCAGCTCGCAACCTTCTGTAACTCAAATTTCAGGGGACCAGGCACCCTCTTCTGGTCTCTTTGGGTACAGAATGCACATACATATTATGGAGGCAAACATTCTTTATTGTTTCTTTGTGAATTTTACACCATGCACCCCAATCCAACTCATCTCCCTGTCCCTTCATATCTGCCCTCTGCCCTTGCAACCTCCCCCACAAGAGAAAAAAACAAAACATTGTGGAAGCCGTATTGTGTCCCAGTGTGTCCCACAGTATGCCCTCTGTCCACATTTCTTTGCTTGCAAATGTTTACTGCAGTGAGTTATTGGATCTGAGCCTAGGAGGTATCTAAGCTGGTCCGCCCACCAGCTGTCCTGCATCCACACCACCAGGGAGAGCTGTTCAGCAATGCCGCAGCCAGCACGGGGCAGAGCCAGCTCTTTAGCTCTCACACCCTCAGGGCCAGCTTACCTGAGCCTATACTAACAGGGCCAGCTCTATTGTGCTGCTAAGACAAGATGCAGGGCCTGCTCTCCCGAGTGCTGCAGCAGGTGAAAGGCAGCTCTACAGCTCTCATGACCCCAGGGCCAGCTCTCCAGTTTGGCACAGGTGGCTGTGGGTGAAGGGAGGGGAGGACATATCTCCCTTGTCCATGCCACCACATGGCAGATGAGCAGCCAGCTCTCACACACTTGGGGCTGACTCACCTGCAACTCCCACAACCAGAGCTAGCTTTACTGTGCTTCCTGGGCAAGACATGGGCCCACTTCTCTGAGTACTATAGCTTGTGAGAGATGGGGCCTGATCTGCTCTCATACCTTCAGGGCCAGCTCTCCCATTATGGCCAGATGAGGGGTAGTGCCAGTTCTGCACATCCCTCAGACATTAACATAGCCCCAAGCAGCAGTCCAGACCAGGAACATCCGCCTGTCCTTTCATGATAACAGACCCCACTCCTGGCCGGCTGTGAACCTAGGCATGGTCCTTAGTAGCAGCACGGGGCAGGACCTCAGCATGGCCTTAAGTGGCGTAACTGGCTACTCACATAAGGCTGTTGTTTCTCCCTACCCTCCAGTTCTCAGTTCTGCCTGTCTTCATTGTGCAGCTCTCTTCCTCCTCCTCCTCCTCCTCCTCCTCCTTCTCTTTCTTTTCCACCTCTCCACCACTGACTTGCTCCTCTCATAGCACCCAGGGCTTCTAAGTATCTATCTGAAGTTGTTTCGGGAGTGGTTTCAGGAGTGCTGTGCCCTGCCCATGCTGTATGGCATTAGGTCAGGGTCATCTCGGGCTTCATCTGCCCACCCAGGCCTGTGCACCACTGGACTGGTGGTTAACCTAGGCTTGTCTCCCACCTGGGCACCATGATGCCAGACTGGTGATCATTTTGGCTCACAGCCATGCATTCCTGGCAAGGGGCGGGGGAGAAATCTCATTGAAAAAAACTAAACAACTAAAACTAAAAAATATAATCAAAGTAAAGTTGTAGAAAAGCTGTTTTATTCCCCCCCAAAAAAAATTGTGTCTATTGTGCAAGTGACACATATCAGCCATACTAAGGGTAACATGTCTCCAGGAAAAACACAGAAGAAAAACTGGTGTTTATGAAAAATATACTGCATATCAAGTTCACAGCAGGACCTTTGTTATTATTACTGTGACAAAATATAAATAATAAAAACTTACTGTTTTAATCCATAGTGCAACCATCACCACCACCTATCTCTACAAAGTACTAGGCATTTCCCGCCTACATTAATACTCTTTCTTAAGTAGTGGGTATGTTTCCAAGATGTGGTTTTGTTCAGTATCTGGCAGAGCCTGTTGTTGGGCCAAACATTCTTTATTTCCAAACCATGTACTCAGTATGGTGAAGGCTCACTGCCTGAGATTTAGGAGGGAAAGTTCATCCTTGCAGGTGATTGGGTCTTATCCTGTTAAAGTTATTTTTATAAAATTGTGGGGGGGGGGTGTTTTCTCAGTTTCTGATTTAACATGGCTATCACACAAATAATTGAGATTCTGTTATAGTATTTGTTTAACAAGCTTCATAGCACAACAACTGAGCAGTTATTACTCTGTTCCTAACCCTCTAAGCTAGTCTGGCTTCCTCCCAGTGTCAATCCCAGTGATACTTGCGTTTTGTGGCTTTCGCTGCTCAGCTGAATCTCTCCTGATGTCTCCTGGAACTCTGCAGTGACTCAATCCCCTGCTTCCTCCTTTTTTTCTCCTCCCCTGGCTGCAGGAAGTCTAGCCCTATATCTCCCCTGCTCAGTGACTGTAAGGTGCTTTATTGGCATATCAGGGGACAGTTGGGGAGCAGTGTTTATATAACACTGAGACAGGAGAGTCTAATAGCAAGGACTGCAACCAAATGTGGGGAATATAGAAATCGGCATTACGCAATAACCTTATACCTACATTATCTCAATACAGCAGGCTGTCCCAGAGTGGATAATGTATCTAGTTCCATTTCACTGATACTCGTTTTCTTCTACACTTTTTCGCAGGAGTCATACTACTGCTTCTGGATAAGTTGCGGAAGATGAAATGGGAGCAGATGTGGAGGCTGACAGCAGAGAGGGAACTCATGGGCATGCTGTCTACCTCCTTGGCTGACCAGGTAAGTAGCCACTGACAAGGACTCTTAGACCTGAGTGCCCTCCTGTTAATACATACTGTGTTGTTACCACAGTAAACACTTGAGAAAAGGGGTTTTTGTTTCAGCTTGGTTTAGTTCGTTGTTTTTCTGAAACAAGTTCTCAGTATATATGCCAGGCTGCCTTGATATAGCAGTTACCCTGCCTCAGTTTCCCATGTTGTGGGATTTACAGGTATACAGTCCATGCCTGAATTAAGAGGGTGATTTTGGATCACAGTTTAGTAGGCTGTAACCCATAGTTGGTTGACCACATTGCTCTTTGTCTAACAACATAACACTAGAGAGCTCATGAAGGGCCATATCTGCTCACCTCATGATAAGGACACCAAAGAAGACGTTGGGGTGCCACAATCCCCCTCACATGTATTTTCCCAGTAACCTTAAAACTTACCACTAAATCCTAACTACCAAAGGTTTAAGTACTTCCAACGGGAATCAAGAAACACTTGAGACCAGTAGTTTAGCACATAGACCTTTGGGAGAATATTCCAGACACCCCAAACTACAGCAGACCTGGTACTGTTTCTGAAAGAATCCTTTTAGCAATTGGATGGGTCTCAATTCATTGGTTCTTTCATGCACTCAGTCAAAAGACATCACTGAACATTATATACTCTGACATGGAGAAAGACAGCAGAGGTAAGTAAAGGCCCTGATTTTCTTTATTTACTTTATGTGTATTGATGTTTGCCTGCACATATGTCTCTGGACCTCATGTGCCTGGTGCCCATGGAAGCCAGAAGAAGGTATCAGATCCTCTGAAACAGAAGTCTACAGATGCTTGTGAGCCTCCACACAGGTGCTGGGAATCAAATCTGGCTCCATGGGAAGAAAGAACAGCCAGTGTTCCTAACCACTGAGCCGTGTGTCCAGTGACAGGTCCCAGTTTCTTTACCTCAGAAAGTTCACTGTTTATGAAATCAGACTCACAACTAATGATAGTCTGCTGTGTTAAAAGTCATCAATACCATCTTTGCATCAGTGTGGAATGTACCTGTTCCCTATGGTCTCGAAATGCCATGGTGTATTTCCCATATATTTCATGTTCACCTGAATGTGAATATGTAAGATAAAACCGTTACTGTGATCCTAATTCTGATAACCCTGATCTCCAGGAAATTGCATTTAAGCAAGAGAGAACCTTAACCAGAGAGTCTGGGAATGCCCTCCAATAAACACTAATATTCATTAAAACACACTTCTCATTTTGCCTGAGAAAGGCATGGGACCTGTTTGGCCACAGAACTCAGGATCACTCGTTAGATTTTATCTTCCTGTGATGTTGACCGTCTTAAGCTCTGAACATCTTTCTCTGGGTTTTCCTCATTTCTTTTTCTCCTTTCCATCCTGAGTTCACACCACGTTTTGGTTCATGAGTCTTCTGTCAAATCCCCACTAAGTTTTCAAATACAGGGGAAAAGAAAGTCTGCATGGTTATATCACTTTTTTTTTCAGCATTATTAGTCAATATTTCCCAAGGAACAAAACAACTGATCTCCCTTCCTAAAACAATGAGATACAGCATAATGAATGAGTAACAAATAAATAAATAACTCAAGCACTAAGACCTGAGGGGGAAGTGGTCTGCTAGCCTCATATTTCAAGTCAGATAACAATGACCTGAGTTTGTTTCCAACTAGCAACTGTATATCTGAGTCCAGTGAGGATAGTTTGTTCAACCATCTTATGCCATGAAGGCCTATAATTCACCTCCCGGCACCACCTGTCAAGAAACTAGCTAATAAGTGGGCCTCCATGTTAGGCTTGGAAAAGGAGCCCAAAGGGGAAAATGAAGGGGAAAAAAATCATCCTAAACAAGTTGGAGTTTGAAATAGGGAGCTGCTCTCCGCATGCTGTGGCCTGGAGAGACCCAAGGAGCGCCCACCACCAGGCTAACCAGAAGCCCCGTGAAAGCGCTGTTAGGAACAAGGGTCTGTAATTTTTCTCAAAGCTCTAGATGAGTTGAGCCATTTGTCGTTACCCTGTTTCCTCTCCATGAGGCTCAGGATAGAACAGGGCTCCCGCCTAGGATGGAGCAAGGGGAAGAAAGAGACCTCACGTATTCTATGATAGCCAGAGTAGGAGAGTCTTCCCTGTCTGCCCTGTGTGCCCTTGCTGAATGATGACCAGCTGGACTGAAGCAGCTAGTCTGCATTCCTCAGACATTTTACCACTTGATTTTTTTCTTTTCTTTTCTTTTTTTGGAAAACAGTCCACAGTGAGGGAAATCTGTCATCCTATGCTCAATGCAGGACGCTATAGAGATGTCCTCCTCTGAGCTGAATCTACCCATCAGCTTGACTGTGTCTTTGGCTTTTATTCCGCAGGATATTTTCAATGCTGTCATCAAACAAAACCCTTTCCTGGTGTACCAGCTCCCCTGCTTCTGGAATGTGCAGCTGTCAGACCACACCCGCTCTGAGCAGTGCTACAAAGATGTGTCTGATTTAAAGGTTTGTCAAGAGGTGCCGTGCTGTGATGTTGGCACGCGTAGTTCTGTGCTGGGAAAGGGAAGCTGGGTGTGGGCATTGGCAGGAAACAGTTATCTGTGAGCTTGTGGGCAGTGTGGTGGAAGATATAAGGTCCCAGGAGAACAGAAAGAACATGAGTGTGCTGTCTGTTGGCAGTTTTCTTTCACGCTTGTATTTGGGCTTTCTGGAAATCGTCAAGTCGCCCAGACTAAAGAACCACCTTGTGCAGTTTATCCTCCTCCCACCTGCTGCCAGCTGTTCTGGTTCACGGCCGATCCCAAAATCCATTGATTTAACTCACGCAAAAACACGTGTTGAAAGGCCCACTCCATAGCATGTGCTGCAGATGGGATGTGAATAACTCCTTACTTCCAAGTCAGGCAAACTTGTAGACGAGCAAAGAAACAGGGAAGGAACTCAGGATAAATAAGTACTGCAGGATGTATGACCAGTGTAGGAGGGACACACAAAGGTCCTGCTCTTCCCACACCCCCCCCCCCGAGGGGATGGGACAGGGGCAGAACAGCTTTCATTATGACGTTCTGAGTACCAGCAACTGAAGACCTGGCTTGAAGAAGACAACAGGGCAGCGTATATGAGTTAGTGTTACACATGATGTCACACAACAAACTATTATAATTGTGGCTGAGATCAGCAAGTATTTGTTTAACCAATGAGTCTCATTTTCTCTGACTTAACCAAGTGCTATGATTGGCCTCAGTACAGAAGGGTGATGCCTAGGACACCCCAGGTGCCCCCCCCCCCTGTTCCCTGTCATCGAGTCAAGCTGATATGTTCACAGTGCAAGGCAGAGTGGGAGGGAGGTCCTAGTGCATGGAAGGAAGCCCTGACTTGCTGTTGCTAGTGACTGCCCAACATAGTCAAAAGAAAAAGTGTCTTAAACCTGGGTTTCCTCTGTCATGTTCCATCTTATTTGTTGAGGTAGGGGACATAATAAACCTGGAGCTCCCTGAGGGGCTGGAATGGGAGGCCAGTGAATTCCAGGGATCTCCCTGTCTCCAGCTACTAGTCCTGGGATTATAGGCACATATCATCGTGTCATGCCTATGTTTTGTCTTTATTTCATATACACATATTTACACATGCATACGATACGCACACACAGAAATAACCAAGTAGCTTGAATTCATTAAGGGTAAGACAGGCTCAATAACATTTTATTTGCCTGTAATCTTGATTCTAAATGAAGAAATCTAGGAAGTTTTGGCAATGAAATCATTTTCCAGATTCAAGAGAAAAATTTTTGCAGTATACGCTCTTTATAAGAGATATGCTTAGCTAATGAAAACATAGAAGGTTGACAGTAACATTAAGCAAAAATATTATCTAAAAATGCCCAAAGAAAGCTATACTAGTTAAACTGGTAAATATTAGCTGGAGAGAGAAGGACCCAACTGAAAATCAAATTTACCATGGAGGAACATGCATCCCATATCTGCATATATCCTTGTGCTGTGGCATATATTTTTTAGGTGTATAATTATGACGAGTGTAAGTATATCTAGAATTGCCTATATATTTTAATTTTTATTTATATCTGTGTATATCCAACTCATTAGAACTTCAGAAAAAGAAAAGGATAAGCCTACTATCACAGTGAAATATTTTAACATCCCTTTTTTAAGTATGAAAAGATGAGTCAAAGATAATAAAAATATAGAAGACTTGAATGACACACTTGATTTATTAGGTAAATAAATAAATAAATAAATGTCAGAAAATACATTCTTATCAGCTTCACACTCAACACTTACCATAGGGCAATCATGTGCCAGACCATAGAGCAACACTCAGTACATTTTTAAGAATCATATTTTATCATAATGCAGCAAACAAAGTAACTTCAATTTGAAGCCTATAAAATTAAGATGAAAGGCATCCAGTTGATTAAAATTGAGAAACCACTTCTACATTCCTCATGGTTCTAAATGGTATTTGTAATTGAAATTGAGAACTACTTAGAGAACAATCAAGTGTCCAAAGTATGAGAATAAATAGAGTAAGAAATACATAAATGTCAGTGTTTGTGTTAAAATGAGGAAAGCCTGAAAAATGACACACAGTGAACATCAGGATAAATTAAAAGGACTAAAAGACAAGACATAAAGCAGATAAGAGCAGAAATTATTTATTAAATTGGGCAGTAAAGTCAGAAGATCCTTGTCTAGAAAGGACCAATAAGATTAACACAGTCTGCCAATACTCATCAACAAAGCAGAGAGAGCTCACCGGGAGATGGCTAGCAAGCATGACTTCAGATTCACTGATTCATTCTCCACAAGGTTTTGAGCAAGTGATTTTTCTGAGTTCTAGGTGTATAGCAAAGATTAAATTTATCAGTCTCTCACTTATGGAACTTTCAACTCAGTAAATACCACAGAACTGTAAAAAGTATTGAAATGTGGTCAACATTATTTTAATAAATTTGAAAGCTTATGTGAAATGTCAAAACTCCTAGAAATCTGTAATTTACCAAAACTGACTTCAAAAGTCAGATGTCTTTCATCCATTAAACCTTCATATGAGAGTGGTGGGTGCAGCGGTTATGGTATGTGGACACGTGATCTGTGTGTACATTTTTATGCTTGTGTATGCTTCGGCACATGTTTACACACACGCATGGAGAGGCCAGAGGTTATTATCAGTATTTTCCCTGACTGTTCTTCATCTTATGTATTGAGACTGGGTCTCTCACGAGCCTAGCGTTTCCCACGATGTCTAGTCTAGGTATTCAGCTTGCTGTAAGGATCGTTGTCTCTGTCTCCCACGCTCTAGGAGTGAAAGCTCACATGACATTTATGTGTGTGCTGGGGATCGCAGCTCAGGTCCCATACTTGCACAGCAAACACTTACCCCACTAACCTGTATCTTCCCATTCCCTACAGGAAGCCTTCCTAAAAGGGCATAGCATTCCTAGTTGACAAGTACAAATAAACTCTAGCAGTTGTATTTTTAGGCAGAAATATTTCCAATTTTAAATAAACTTTTCCAACATTTAGGAAAAGAGGATCACTTTTTTTTAACTCATTCTTTGAATCCAAGTTATTCTTTATTCCCAAAATAGTTCTGTGACATGAAACTTACAAGCCAGTTTCATTTGTGAACATAGATGTAAAAATCTTAAGCGAATTATTAGCAAACCAAGTCTGGTCACATAGAAAATAGATAATACATCATGTGTAAGGTGGCCTTACTACAGTAAGACAAAGGTGATTTAACACCAGAAATTCACAAGTGTTGTGAGTTTATTGATGGAGTCAAGGAGTACTCCCTGATGGCTATGAGAAAGATATTTAATGAAATCTACACACTTGTTCATGTTGTAACTCTCACAAAGTTGGTAACTAGTAAAGAGCACGTGGGGAGCTGTACCAATAAGTTAGCAGAATGGAGTAGATATCGTAGAAATGCCTGTACATCTACATGCATGTTATAAGAGAAAATATGCCATTCCTGATCATTGCAGAAAGGATGTCCACAAGTGAGATACCAGGGTTTCCATAGGGAAGAAAAAAGTAGCACACAGATTCATTTCCAGGGAGCAGGAATAACATGAAAGGCTTAAACACAAAGCAAGCAAACAAGCAAAAAAGGCTTTTACTTTTAAACCTGAGAGATGGAATCTTAGGAAAGAAGTGGGAAACAGTAAGATCTGGAGAGAACAGGAACTCCACAAGGAGAGCAACAGAACCAAAAAATCTGAGCACAGGGGTCTTTCCTGAGACTGATATTCCAACCAAGGACTATGCATGGAGATAACCTAAGACCCTGCACAGATGTAGCCCATGGCAGTTCAGTATCCAAGTGGGTTCCATAGTAATAGGAACAGGGACTGTCTCTGACATGAACTAATTGGCCTGCTCTTTAATTACCTCCCCCTGAGGTGGGAGCAGCATTACCAGGCCACAGAAGAAGACAACGCAGCCACTCCTGATGAGACCTAATTGACTAGGATCAGAAGGAAGGAAAAGAAGTCCTCCCCTATCAGTGGACTTGGGGAGGGGCATTCATGCAGCCGGTGGAGGAAGGGAGGGATTGGGACGGGAGGAGGGAGAGAACCACAGGGAGGATATAAAGTGTAATTAATAAAGGAAAAAAAAAACTGAGAGATGGGAAGTCCTAAGACGTTAGAATAGAGAGGAATTTACTCAACAAGACATGAGGTGTCCATGCTAGGTCAGCTGATTCTTAGTTTTCACCTCAATCTACACTTTTTTCCTCCCTGAACCAGGTGCTTTGATGTTCTGATGGAGAGCTAGGTTGTCTCACATGTGAACTACCCTCACAATGAGTCTTCTGGGACCACCAGGGCCATTTCCTTTAGAGTATTGGGAGACTGTGAGGAGCCTTACACCACTAAGGACACTCCTATATTATTTCCATTCTCTCCTATTCTTTGCCTCACTCACACCTAACAGAAGACAGTTGTTTTAGTGACTTCTTATCATCAAGTCATAGCCAAGCATTCTGTTTGTCTATCATGAAAATAGTGACTCTTCTGCAATTGTATGCTATTAATTCAAAGAGTTTTTGGTTAGATATTCAGTTCCATTAGAAACATAGAAATACAAATGCTCTTGGTAGCCAACACAACCCTCCTCCACTAAATTCAGTGCCTGCTGTTGTTAACTGAGCTGGTAGTGTCAGAGCCTAGGACCTGCAGACCTGAGTTCAGTTTTCCACCTTCAAAAGGCCACTTGAAGAAAAAGGCCACATTGGTAAGAGGATAAACAAAGCCTGGTGGCACTCTCCAAAGTCCATCTCAGAGGTCCTGAGTTGAAGTTTAGAGATTATACATGCTTTACCAGTCCTACTCAAACTGTAGTCCTTCCTGTTATCATGGGTTGGACACCAGGCTCTCCTCCTTGGTAGTATGACCAGTTGTCAGAACTGCGTGAATTACTTTCTGGAAGAAATTATCCCCTATACTGGGCTCCCAGCCTTTTCTCTCCTCAGCATGG